CGCCTCAGCAGTGAGACCTCATCTCTACAGTAAATCAAAAAATCAGCCGGGCGTGGTAGTGCATGCCTGTAATTCCGGTTACTGGGAAGGCTGAGGCGGAAGGATCGCCGGACCCCAGCAGGTCGAGGCTGCGGTGGCCGGGAGCGGCCACTGCACTCCAGTCTGGGTGACAGAGTGAGACTCCAACTCAAAAAAAAAAAAAATGTAAGTGGTGTCAACCGTGTTGCCCATCAAAACTGGACTGGATTAAAAAATGTATATATAAACAATGGAATATTATGTAGCCATAAAGAAGGACAAGCATATGAACTTCGCAGCAACCTGGGTGGATTTAGAGTCTATCATACAGGGTGATCTATCACAGAAACAAAGAACAGAGTACCACATGTTCTCATTCATAAGCGGATCCTGAATAATTATCATAATACTTTAAGAAAGGGATTGGGGTAACCCCCTTGGTTCCCCTTCCACTGTGGGAGTTTTTCTGTCCTCTCAATAAATCCTACTTTCTTAAAAAAAAAAAGAAAGAAAGAAAGAGAAAAAGAAAAGGAATAGCGGGATGCAACAGGGGTGGGGAGGACACAACATCATTAAGGGTACCTGATCTCAAACCAGGTAAAGTGGGGACCAAAGGGAGGCCCAAACTTTATCTGTATGATAACCACTTGTATACCTAATCCTGAATTGTACCCCATGTCTTTAAAATAAAAAGATAACATAAACAATTGTTTTAACGTAGGTGGTGTCAATACTTATATAATACAATAGTAGAGAAGATGAGGTTTTGATATGTAAAAATAAGGTGTGAATATTTTCCACTCTTTGCATCACTGTCATTTCAACTCACACTATATACATGCATTTTAATCCAAATGATTTTAAATTTAAGTGAAGATAACAAATAAGAAAACTACAACAAATCAGAATAGAATATTACATTTCTGGAACTGGATGGTCTCCTTGGGTTATTAATGTTGAAAGAAATCACAAAGGAAAGATTGACAGATATAAAATATACACATATAAATTTCTAAATTAAAAATGGAGGGGATTAAAAGAGGTTAATTAATGGGGACAGATAGAAGAAATAAGACCCAGTGTTCAAGAGATCGATGGGGTGACGATAGTTAACAACAACCTATTGTACATTATAAAGTAGCTCGATGAGAATAATTTAAATATTCCTAGCATAAAGAAAAGATCAATGTTTAAGGCAATGGACATTCCAATTACCCTGACTTGATTTGTACCCCAAAAACATACATCTAGTATGGATCAATAAAAAATAAAAATAAAAAGTAAAGAGTAAATAACAAAATGGAGAAAAATATTTGTACCAAATATGGAAAATATAAAAACCTCCAATAAATAAGCAAAAGGCATATACAGTAAACAAAACGATTAGAAAATCAACATAAAAATTATTCAGCCATTCTAATATCAAAGACATTAATAATAAAGCAATAATAATGCTTTATAAAGCATAAAACTATAAAAACTATATAAAAACTATTTGGGACTTAGTTTTTAAATGAAAATTTCCACTAGTATTCTGTTAAAAAAGAATGAGGTGGTAAAACCAGTAAACACTGCCATTGCTGATTACAGCATAACACTTTTGGAATGCCATTCGTCAGTGTAGTTCTTAAGTCATTCAAATTTTCAAATTTTTGGACTGGTAATTCCAATTTTGGGAAATGATCCAATTTGTTGGGGGGGGGTTGTTTTGGGGTTTTTTTGAGTTGTAGTCTCACTCTATCGCCCAGGCTGGAGTGCAATGGCACGCTCCCGGCCACCGCAACCTCGACCTGCTGGGTGCAGGTGATCCTTCCACCTCAGCCTTTAAGTAGCTAGAACTACAGTCACGCGCTACCATGGCCAGCTAATTTTTGGTTTATTGTAGAGGCAAGGTCTTGCCAAGTTGCCCAGGTGGGTCTCGAACCTGTGGGCTCAGGCTATTCACTTGCCTCAGCATCCCAAAGTGCTGGGATTACAGACTGAGTCACTGAGCCCAGCCTGGTATGCTATCTTATTAAAATTTAAATCCAAGAAGAAAAAAATGTAAGAGGTAAATAACTATGAGGAAAAACATCATTCTTCTATAAGAATTTACTTTTCTTGCATTTTTAAAAAATAGATTAACAGAATGGGTTCTGTTTTTGAGAATCGAAGTGGAATATGTTGTCAGCTTGCCACGTGTTCAGCAGATTGGTAAGTCTTATTTCAAATATTTCCTAACATGCTTTTATACAAAATGTTCTTTTTTTTCTTAGATGCCCCTAAAATCGGTGTTTTCTTCTGCTCCTTAAATAATCTTCATTGTAGCAATTAAATCTAATATAACTAAAGGACAGACGTTATGAATTGTTGCTGGTTTTAAAAGTCTTTTTATAGAGATAAATATGTCATTAAAAGAATTAACTAATCTTTGTGCTTAATAATGTTATTCACAGTTATTCTGCTTCACATTCTCATCTTTATAAATTTGCAATATGTGTTATTTATAATTCAATTTTATCTAAGAATTATGACAATCATAGCGTTAAATTGGAAAAGAGATTTCACATTTTTGCTGTACATTTATAAAAGTTGGTTTGCCACCACCCACTACTGGGGAGAGGAGAACCTGTTCAATAAATGGTGCTGGGAAAACTGGCTGACCACATGCAGAAGATTGAAACAGGACCCCTGCCTATCCCTATACACAAAAATCAACTCTAAATGGATCACAGACCTAAATGTAAAACCTCAAACTATAAGAACCTTAGAAAATGCAGGAGACATTCTTATAGAAGTTGGAACTGGCAACCAATTCCTGATCAAAATCCAAGGTGCCCATGCCATAAGAGATAAGATAAACAAGTGGGATCTCATTAAACTGACAAGCTTCTGCAAAGCCAAAGAAACCATCAAAAGAGCAGGGAGATGGCCCACAGACTGGGAAAAAATATTTGCCAACTCCATGTCTGACAAAGGCCTCACATCAAGGATCTACAAGGAACTCAAATGTGCTGAAAAGAAAAAAACAAACAGCCCCATTACAAAGCGGGCAAAAGATATGAATAGACACTTCTCAAAAGAAGACATATGAGCAGCCAACAGATACATGAAACAATGTTCAGCTTCACTAGTCATCAAGGAGATGCAAATTAAAACTACACTGAGATACCACCTAACTCCAGTCAGAATGGCCATCATCAGTAACAAAAAATAACAGATGCTAGAGAGAATGTGGTGAAAAGGAAACACTTCTACACTGTTGGTGGGAGTATAAACTAGTACAGCCTCTGTGGAAAACAGTGTGGCAATTCCTAAAAGTTCTAAAAATCTAATTTCCATATGACCCTGCAACCCCCTTATTGGGAATATACCCGAAAGAACTCAGATCACTCTATAAAAAAGATACCTGCACACGCATGTTTATCACAGCGTTGTTCACAATAGCAAGAACATGGAACCAACCCTGCCGCCCATCGAAAGTGGACTAGATGAAGAAAATGTGGTGCATATACACAATGCAGTATTAAGCAGCCATAAAGAAGAACAAAATCATGAATTTTTACAGCAAATTGGATGGAGTTGAAGACCATCATACTTAATGATCTATTCACAGAAACAAAGGACAAAATACCGCATGTTCTCACTCGTAAGTGGGACCTGAACATCAATCACGTTAGCACAAGAGAGGGATCAGAAGTCGTGGAACGCTGCTGAGGGTGGGGGACACGTATCAACACAAAGCATACTTGGTCCTAAACCAGGGAAAGTGAAGACCAGTTGGAAGCGCAAACTTCACCTGCACTTAGATTACTTATGTACCTAATCTTGACTTGTGCCCCCATCTCCATAATAAAATAAAGTTTTAGAAAGAAAAAAGATTCAGAGTGACTGAACAGAGTACGCTTGGCCCTCAGTTGCATCATAAACCCACTCCTTTGGCCAGAGAGGAAATGGCATATCACTGTGAGTGATAATCCCAACCTGACAGCATGTAGCAGGAAGGGGGCAGGTCCCCAAAGAACAATTAGAAACATCCAGGCAAAAACAGCAACACAGCCGGGCATGGTGGCTCACGCATGTAATCCTAGCACTTTGGGAGGCGGAGGTAAGAGGATTGCCTGAACCCACGGGTTTGAGACCAGCCTGGTCAACTTGGCGAGACCGTGGCTGTACAATAAATCAAAAAATTAGCTGGGTGTGGTGGCGTACGCCTGTGGTCCCAGTTACTTGGAAGGCTGAGGCAGAAGGATCGCTTGAGTCCAGCAAGTCAAAGCTGTGGTGGCCGTGAGAGTGCCACCGCACTCCAGCCTGGGTGACAGTGAGACTTCAACTAAAAAAAAAAAAAAAACAAAAACTCCTCATCTGTGGAACAATATAGAATATTATGGAACAATTAAAATTATATTATGATTTCATGGAGAAATGCTTCTGCTATAATGTTGTCATCAACAGGACACACAGCTATACTGTTCTTCAGTAGCCTGGGAAAACATTTAAAAGCACATTGACAAGGTCCTTGGTTGTTTGTTTATGATGGCCCTTAAGTCTGAAGGAAGGAAGGAAGGAGACTGGTTGGTAAATTATTTTATTTGATTATTTATGTAAATGTAGAAAAGTTCAAAAGTTTTTAAAGTAAAAAATAAAGTTTGTGCTTTTAGAAAAGCTAACTTTTAGTTATCTATAAAACTCCATCAGTCCTATCCTTAATACTTCAGCCATGCTAAGGGTCTTATAATACAGAATATAAGTAAATAAATTTCCATTAATTAAGACTATGTGACTGATTTATGTAGAAAGTTCAACCGGTGCTGTCTGTAATAGCAAAGTTATTTCATGTGTAATGCAAATTAATGCTAGAAATAAGATTCAAGAAGAGCTATATAATTTTGAAAAACAATTTAAACCAGGTATAAGCATGTTTTTTAAAAGATATTAATATGTCACTTGTGGTATTCTCTCAAGAATTTGTTTTGACAACATAAATAATTATATATTAATAAATGTTAATTATTAATTATATATTAATAAATGTCAATGGTTATGCATTAATTATTAATTTTGACCATTCATTATTAAAATGAGCAAATGATTAATATTGATAAACTATATAAATGAGTAACAGATTTGTTAGTTTTTCGTGAGTTGCCATTTGTTTAAATACTTTATACATCTAAATTGTATAATGTATCTTCAATTCATTAATCAGATTATACATATCCCAAATGATAGAAATTATGGAGCTAATATGGCATATTTTTTGCCATTTTTATATGCTTTTACATAAATAATACCAAAAATGTAATTAATTTCACAAAATTAACACAAAATACACATAATTAATTCAAGTATCTTTATAGTATGTAACTTTTGTATCATAAACAATATTTCCCACAGGTTGGTTATGAAAAATCAAATGAGATAATTCATGTGAAAGATATTTTTAGAACTGTAAAACTTCTAAATCACCTGTGAGGAAGGAGAAATAACACTTGTTGGGTACCTACTTCTTGGGTGCCTACTGTGTACAAAGCAGATGATATCCAACTCCGTGTATGTTATTTTCCCATATATTGAGATACTGTTAAGATTATGTCACTTAGATAAAACATGAAAAGCATAAGCAACAAAAGAAAAAATTGGTAAGTTAGACTTCATCAAAATTAAAAACTATTGTGCTTTAAAATGTCACTACCAAGAAATTGAAAAGACAACCTTCATAGAATGGGAAAAAATATTTGCAAATTATATATTTGATGGAAGATTTATATCCAGAACATATAAAAACGTTTACAACTCAACAATAAAAAGACAAATAACCCAATTAAAAAGCAAGTAAAGATTCTCAATAGATGTTTCCCCCAAGATTCTCAATAGATGTTTCCCCCAAGATTCTCAGTAGATGTTTACCCAAAGATTCTCAATAGATGTTTCCCCCAAGATTCTCAATAGATTTTTTCCCCACCCACTTTTGGAGCTTCTCTATTTTCTCAATAAATCCTTCTTTCTAAAAAAAAAAAAAAAAAAGTTGCTCATATCATTAGCTATCAGGGGACTGCAAATCAAAACCATAATGAGATCTAAAATTGTCAAAACAAATCTTGTCAAAGAGGAACAAAGTGAAAAGATTCATACTTCCGAATTTCTAAACTTTCTACAAAGCTGCAGTAATAGAGACAGCTATATGAGAATTACCTTAAGGATAGACAGATTAGTGGAATAGACTTCAGAGTCCAGAAAATAACCCATACATCTTTGGTCAAGTGATTTTCAACGAGGATGCCAAGAAAGTTCAATGAGAATCGTCTCTTTAACAAGCAGCACTGGGACAACTGGATACTCATGTGCAAAAGATAAAGTGGACTCCTATCTCACACCATATACAAAAATTAACTGAAATGGAATAAAAACCTAAATGTAAAAGCTAAAACTAGAAAACTCTTAGAAGAAAACATAGACACATGTCTTCATGACCTTGGGTTGGGGAGTGATTTCTTAGATATTGCATCGAAGGCACAAATGCAAATTGAAGCCATTTTGATGCTATACAACTTCACACCACTAGGATGGTTATGATAAGACAAAAAATAAAAAGTGTTGGCTAACTTATGGAGATGTGGATCAATTGGAATTCTCATGCATTGCTGAGGGGATGTAAAAAGGGTGCAGTTGCTTTGGAAAACTGGCAGTTTCCCAAAAGATTGAACACATAGTTACCATATAACCCAGCAATTCCGCTCCTAGATATACCCAAGAGAAATAAAAATATATGCAAATGTTCACTGGCAGCATTATTCATAATAGTAAAAAAAAAAAGGAGAAATAATTCTAATGTGTTTATCCATTCATAAATAACTGGTGAATGAATAAATAAAATATGCATGCAATGGAATATTAGGCAGCAATAAAGAGGAATAAAGTCCCGATATGTGCCACCACATTAATGAACCTTGAAAACATTATGCTAAGGGGCAAAAGATAGTCCTAAAAGACCACATACTATAAGATTTCATTCATAAAACGTCCAGCACAAGAAAATTTACAGAGATAAGAAGCAGATTAATGGTTGCCTAGGACTTGAGGGAGGGCTTGGGAGACCAGCTAATTGGAAATAGCTGCTGATCTAAGTGGGGTTGGGAGACAGGGTGATGGGAATCTTCTAAAATGTGGTGATGGCTGCACTACTCTGTGAATGTATTAAAACCACTGACTTAATACACTTTAACTGGATGAAGTTGGTAGTTTATGAGTAATATCTCAATAAAACTGTTTTTTTTAAAGATTACATCAATTTCAAACTCAGCTCTCATATTTGAAAATATCAGTCCCAGGACAAGGGAAGTTGTTAAATCACTCTCTAAACAGTCTAATTCTCTGAAATATAAAATGCAAAAGCTCTGTTATTGCATAAAAATCTTAGCCATAGTCACATTGCTAATGTGTAGCAGCATGACTAGTTGTCCCGAGGTTTCACTTCTTATTTGTACTTAATAAGAATATAAAATATAAACTTTTTTTAGCACAATATGTTTTTGGGATATTAGACAACAGAAGGTTGCAACCCCTCAACCAACAGAGAAAAAGAAGGAAGAAAGTATTGAAATTCCTTTTGATGTGCCATCTACTTTTATGCATCTGGATCTTTCCTGGAAACCACTCATTAAGGTCAGTAGAATAAAATTTGGGCCATTTTGTTTGCATACATACATTATAGAATCTGCATGCATAGACATACATAGACACACACTCTAATAGCTGAGCAGTTCAAATTAACACAAGAGTTACAGTAATTTAGGGGTTTAGTCAACCAATACATTTCTTAATTGAGAGTTATTTTGATGCCTGTTTAGAGCAAGCCAGAAATCAAAATAATCATAATTTTCGACTGAGATTTCATGTATATTCAAGCCACAACTTACAAATGGCTTGTGTAATAATTACTCAATTGCATTTGAAAATTGACTGATGACGCTCAAGTTAGCCCAGAGAGCTAATTTTCCTCCCTATTGTGGCCAAAATTCTGCATATTCTGCATGTTAGTAGTCCAGAACTGAAAAGAAATTGGATGAGAATTTATTTGTATTTATCTTGAATGGCGAACTTGAAGAGAAGCAACTTTAATTTGAGAAAAATATGACTATGGCTAAGTATGGAAACTAGGAATGGGCCTCTGATGTTAATGGCTTTATTTCTTTCTTTAAAATGTCTTCTTTTAATTTCAGACTTAACATTTTTCTTTTCTTTTGATTAATACATATCACAAGAATTATATTATTTTGCATTTGCTCCCAGTGAAACAAGAACATGGACGAATGAGGACATTGATGAAATAACTGAGAAAACTGGAAAGACAAGATTGGAGAGTTTGGGTCATAGGACTACTGAGCCGTGGATAGTTAAAACAAATAAATAAACCAAAGCCACCTGAGAATAATTGCACGGCATGGGGACAGACATCCTGAAGGAGAAGGCAGGGTCAGGGAGCTACTGGGGAGAAATGTGAAGTGTGACAATTTCTCACTCAAGCCACCAGGGTGTAGTGCCGGTCCAGGGCTACTTCTGAAACTCCCGGCCATGTGTGTCCCTGAGAGGACCAGGGGGTGGCCAGGCAGAGGCAAGGCCCTGTACAACTTTCTGGAGTTTCGTTTAACCGAAAGACTTAGGAAATGAGTCGTTATCTTATATTAAAACTAACAAGGCTGCATTATGGAACAAAACCCAAGACGTTTTCAGAAAGACAGTGACACAGGAGAATTTGGGTTTTGGAACTGTGTCCCCAGACATGCTCCCTTCTGTGGCAAGGTATAGAAACGCAGTTTAGATGCCTTCCAGGGGAAAAGCAGCTAGAAATGGGGAGAGAGAAGAGAGGAGAAAGAGAGGGAGCTAGACTTCCTTCACTCTGGAAGCAGAAGGGAACGGCAAGAATAAATTACCCAAGGATAATTTAAGGATATATGGAAATAATCATTATGTGTCTTCCCAAAAGGTAAGGCTGTCCAAGGGTGAAACAAGTTTAGACCACTGCCCAACCAAGATGAGCCTGAATCAAGACCACCTACTTTATAAATCACAAGGTAACTGCCTTTGCTTATTAAAAAGTCTTTAATAATTTGAGTGTCGGTGGCTGATTATGTCTAAAGTGAACCACTTGCTAGGATGGTCTAATTTGTAACAAGAATGCAGAAAATCAAACCTTCCAATATGGAACTTTCTAATGACTATAATTGCTATAAACAATACATTAAAACTGCCTATACACACAAAAGGATTTCATTTCATTGAAACTCATTACATTAAAGTGAATGAAGCCCACTTAAGAATATGTATGTGCTCAAAGAGTAATTCTTTAGAGTGGAACATGTGGAGTCTAGCAAAATAAGTTATGAAGTACCAAGAAACAAATTACCATTCTCAATCAGAATATAATTTTAAAAATTAATATACATACAGCACTATGATAAAATTGTAAGGAAAGAAAATTGACTTTTATTTTTATTTTTTGTTTTTGAATTGGAGTCTCTGTTGCCCTGACTGGAGTGCTGGGGCATAATAATGGCTACCACAGCTTCGACCTGCCAGGCTTAGGTGATCTCTCTCAGCCTTCCAAGTAGCTGGATCTACATACGCGTGCCACCACACCCAGCTAATTTTTTTTATTTTTTGTAAAGATGAGGTCTCGCTATGTTGTCTAGGCTGTTCTCAAACTCCTGGGTTCAGGCAACTTTGCAGGGGGAGGGAAGTTCATCCATGATGTCTCATCAGTAGTTCATTTCTTTTTATTACAGAGTAGTATTTCATTGTACGGATAAACCACAGTTGTTTATCCATCTACTTGTTGATAAACATTTGGATTATTTTTAGCTTTAGGCTATTGAGAATAAAGTTTCTATGAGCATTCATGTACAAGTCTTTGTACGGACATATGCTTTCATGCGTCTTGAGTAAATCCCTAGGAATGGAGTGCTTGAACCCTATGGTAGGTGTATGTTTAACTTTTTAAGAAACTGCCAAAGTGCTTTCCAATGTGATTTTGTCATTTTATGTTTCTATCAGCAGTGTTTGAGAGTTTGGTTTCTTTGTATCCTCACCAGCAGTTGACATGGTTAGTCTATTTAACTTAACCATTCTAAAATACATATAGTAGCAGCCCTCTTGGGTCCCCTCCCACCGTGGGAGCTTTTCTGTCCTCTTAATAAATCCTGCTTTCTAAAATAATAATAATAATAATAAATACATATGGTGATATCTCATTTACATTTATCTAATGACCAAAGTTGTTGAGCATATTTTCTTGTGCATGTGTTTTGTTTGTTGTGTTTTGCCACTTGTGTATCTTCCTTGGCAAAGTGTCTGTTTAACTCTTTTGCCCATTTTTCAATCGGATTGTTTGTTTTCTTTTTTTTCTTTTTTTCTTTTTTTTTTTTTTTTTTTTTGAGTTGGGAGTCTCACTCTGTCGCCCAGACTGGAGCGCAGTGGCTGCTCCCAGCCACCGCAGCCTCGACCTGCTGGGCTCCGGCGATCCTTCCGCCTCAGCCTTCCAGGTAGCTGGAACTACAGGAGCGCACTACCACGCCCGGCTGATATTTTGATTTATTGTAGAGATGAGGTCTCGCTGCCCAGGAGGGTCTCGAACCCGCGGGCTCAGGCAATCCACTCACCTCAGCCTCTCAAAGGCGCGAGATTACAGGCTGAGCCACTGAGCCCGGCTGTTTGTTTTCTTATTATTGAACGTTGAAAGTTCTTTTTTTTTTGAATGGGGTCTCACTCTGTCGCCCAGGTTGGAGTGCAGTGGCATGCTCACAGCCACTACAGCCTCAACTTGCTGGGCTCAGGTGATCCTTCTGCCTCAGCCTTCTAATAGCTGGAACTATAGGAACACGCAACCGTGCCTGGCTAATTTTTTTTTTTTTTAATTGTAGAGATGAGGTCTCACTGAGTTGCCCAGACTGGCCTCAAACCCATAAGCTCAGGCAATCCTCTCACCTCCCAAAGTGCTGGGATTATAGGCATGAGTCACCACACCTGGCCAAAAGCTCTTAATATACTTCAGATACTAGCCCCTTTTCAGATATGTGATTTGCAAATATTTTCTTCCAGTCTGTAATTTGTTGTCTAATTCTCTTAACAGTCTTTTGAAAATAGATGTTTTTGGCCAGTCTCAATGGCTCACGCCTATCATCCCAGTACTCTGGGAAGCCAAGTCGGGGGATCTCTTGAAATCAGGAATCCGAGACCAGCCTAGGCAACATGGTGAGACCTCATCTCTACAAAAAAAAAAAAATCAAAAAATTAGCTGGGTGTGGAGGTGTTCACCTGAAGTTTCAGTTTCTCAGGTGACTGAGATGGAAGGATCGCTGGAGCTCAAAAGGTTGAGGTTTCAGTGAACTGTAATGGTGCCACTGCACTCCAGCCTGAGCAATAGAATGAGACTGTTTCCATGTGATTTTGATTTTGGTTTCAACTCAAAAAATAGATGTTTTTAATTTTGAGGGAGTCTCCTTTATCAATTTGTTCTTTTGTAAATCATAATTTTGGTGTTCAATTTAAGGAATCTTTGCCTAACCCAAGGTTGCAAATTATTTTTCTTAAGTTTTTTTCTAGGAGTTTTATGGTTTTATAATTTAGGTCCATAATCCCTTTCAAGTTAGTTTTTATGTGTGGCACAAGTTATGAATCAAAGTTCATTTTTTTGTGGATGGTATTCCCACATCATTTGTTGAAAATACTATCCTTTCAAAGGATGGATGCCTTTGCACCTTTGTCAAAAATCACTTGTCCATATATGTGTGAGTCTCTTCGGAACTCTCTATTCTGTTCCATTGACCTATGTGTCTGTCTTTATGGTGATACCACACTGTCTTGGTTACCATAGCTGTATTATTAGTCTTGAAATTAGATAGCATGAGTCCTCCAACCTTTTTTTTTCCCAGAGTAGTTCTTGGCTGTTGTATGTTTTTTGTTTTGCCATGTGAGTTTTTGAAACAGTTTATCTTGCATAGAAGTTAGCTGTGACTTTGATTGAAATTGTATTGACTCTGTAGATCAATATTATGAGTCAGCATCTAACAAAACTGAGACTTTTAACCCACAAGTACAATGTATCTCTTCATTTGTTTAGTTCATTAATTTCTCAGCGATGTTTTGTAGTTTTTCAGTGTGCAAATCTTTCTCTTCTTTTGATGGATTATTTCGAAGTATTTTAAATTTCTTGGTGCTCTTGTAAATGGTACTTCATAATTTTTAATTCTGGGTGTTCCCTGCAAGTTCATAAAAATACAAATGACTTTTGAATACTGATTTTACATTCTGAAATCTTGCTAAAATCACTTATTAGTTATAGTAGCTTATTTGTAGATTTGGGGGCTTTCTATATAGATGATAATACCATCTGCAAGACAGCTTCACTTCTTTTCCAACCTGATGACTAATTTTTTTCTGATCTTACTTTACTGTTTAGAACTTCCAGAGTGTCAAATTCCAGAAGTGTGAGAGTAGACATTCCAGTTTTGTTTCTGACCTTAGGGGGAAAGCATTTAGTCTTCCACCGTTAAGTGTGATATTCATTGTAGGTTTTTTTGTAGAGCCCTTTATCAGGTTAAAGAAGTTTCTTTCTATTCACAAATCTGTGAGATTTTTTCTACATCTTTTGAGATAACCAGATTTTTTTTCTTTTTTAAGCTTACTAATATGACGACTTACATTGATGAATTTTCAAATACAGGGTCTGACAATTAAGTTCGCGAGCTTGTCACTGTGTGCTTACCTTGGCAGCACCAAACAAACAACTCTGTAAGGTTTCGTAACCTTGTTTATCAGTGTCTCACAGCTGTGTTTGTGTCGACATGTGGCGGTGTCTTGCTGAGTGGCATTCATTATTGTCATTGCATGTTTTTGTGTGTCATCACAAGAATGTCAGAACCGAACTAGAGCAACAGCCAAACATTAAATTTCTCGTTAAACTTGGCAAGAGTGAAAGTGAAATCAGGGACATATAAGTCCAAGTTTATGGTGATAATACCATGAAGAAAACGGCAATGTACAAATAGATCAAATGTTTTTCTGAGGGGAGAGATGGCATCACTGATGAAGAGAGGTCAGGATGCCCAGTGACGAGCAGAACTGACAAAAACATGGCAAAAATTTGTTGAATTGTGTGTCAAAATCATCAGCTGACTGCGAGCATAGCAGATCAAATAAACATAGACACAGAAACAGTTAGGAAAATCTTAACTGAAAATCTTGGCATGAGAGAGGTGTGTGCAAAAACGGTCCCTAAGGAGCTCTTGTATCACAATGCACCAGCTCACATAGCACTGTCTGTGAAGCAGTTTTTAGCCAGTAAACAAATAACTATATTGGGACACACTCTCTATTCTCCTGGCATGGCCCCCAAGGACTTTATTTTTAACCTAAAAATAAAGGAAATATTAAAAGGAAGACCCTTTGATGACAATCAGGACATCAAGGCTAATACGACGACAGCTCTGATGGCCATTCCAGAAAAAGAGTTCTAAAATTGCTTTAACTGGTGAACTAGGTGCTGGCATCAGTGCCTAGCTTCCAGGGAGGAGTACTTCGAAAGTAACCATAGTGATATTCAGCATTGAGGTCAGTAGCACTTTTTCTAGGATGAGTTTGTGAACTTAATTGTCTGGCCTCATGTTAAACCAGTCCTGAATTCCTGCAGTAAACCCCACTTGGTCCTGATGTAGTATCATTTTATCATATTGTTGGATTTAATTTTCTAAAATTTAATTAAGAATTTTTGCATCAGCTGGGCTCGGTGGCTCAGCCTGTAATCCCGTGCCTTGGGAGGCTGAGGTGAGTGGATTGCCTGAGCCCGTGGGTTCAAGACTCACCTGGGCAACTTGGTGAGACCTCATCTCTACAATAAATCAAAAAATTAGCCCGGTGAGGTAGCGCACGCCTGTAGTTCCAGCTACTTGGAAGGCTAAGGCAGAAGGATCACTGGAGCTCAGCAGGTCGAGGCTGCGGTGGCCAGGAGTGTGCCACTGCAGTCCAGCCTGGGGGACAGAGTGAGACTCCAATTCAAAAAAGAAAAAGAATTTTTTCA